ACTCATAATTTACTGCTCTCATCATAAGCTGAATATTGTTTAGGGCAAAAGAGGGAAGGACGGACTCTCAGGAGCGTATGGTGAAAAAGGATCTCAAGGAGAACAAGGTCTTCCAGGTCTTGCTGGATATCCAGGGCCTAAAGGAGAAGCTGGAGAGCCGGGTTACTCCGGTCGACCAGGAGTTGAAGGAGATGTTGGACCTCCTGGAGTGTTCGGGGAGGGTCACGGAGCTGCTGGAGTGCGAGGACTTCAAGGACGCGATGGTGTCCCTGGTCCCAAAGGTTTGCCAGGAAAAGATGGTCTTCCGGGAGCTGTCGGTGTTAGAGGACCTGTTGGAGCACCTGGACCTCAAGGAGCGCCGGGATTAGATGGACTACCAGGCTATTCTGAAAAGGGAGATCGAGGAGAGGACGGTTACCCAGGCTTCGCTGGAGAACCCGGTTTTCCTGGAGAGGAAGGAGATTGTGGTTTGCCTGGTGAGGACGGGCCGCCAGGATATGACATACAGGGACCACCCGGAAATGATGGGACTCCTGGACGTGATGGTTACCCCGGCGTACCTGGAGAAGTTGGAGATCCCGGCTATCCAGGAGAGAAAGGCTTCCCCGGTGCAGGAGTGAAAAAAGTTGGTCCACCCGGTCAAATGGGATTGATTGGTCCGCCAGGAGAGAATGGTAGGATTCTTCTTATTTCCGTTTTTGACACAATATATCGTCCTATTTCTGAGTGAAAACATGTTGCTGAGATTACAGGTCGAATGGGTATCGACGGTTTGCCCGGACCACCAGGAGATAAGGGACCTCGTGGAGACGACTGTGGTTACTGCCCTGATGGTCTTCCCGGTCAAAAGGGTGAGCCTGGTGTGCCCGGATTAGATGGATATCCTGGACCACCAGGTCCGGATGGAGATAGCGGTGATTGCGGATTCAAGGGAGAACCTGGTAAACCGGGGTCTGCTGGCCCCGACGGACTTCCAGTATGTTTTGATCATAACTTGCACTCGCTAATGATAACTAGCGCACTCAGTTGCGTAAAATTGTGCTTAAGGGATCTGTTGGGCTACCTGGAATCCCAGGTTATCCAGGTCTGAAAGGAGAAGCAGGAGAAATTATTGGTCCCATGGAAAACCCGCCAGGAATTGATGGAATGAAAGGAGAGCGAGGGGTCCCAGGTAATGTGCTGCAGTATCATAATCTTTGCGATACCGTCAATCGCGCCCTAATCAAAAACTGATGCAGCAGCTCAAAGAACTTTCAA